TGTCAGGAAATGGACGGAGGACTCAAATGCAGTTCAAACAAAAAATAGACTTTATTCCGAAACCCAAGCCAGCAAAGGCGTGAAACACCACAGTTAGGGGAATGCAGTGGTGTGGCGCTCCCTGCGCACACATTCACCAAGACAGGGGGGCTGAGAGGAATACCGGAAAACGTCCAGAATCGTACTCCCAATCCGGCCTCACTGTCCACAGCCGCGATACTAATTCCTCGCCTGAGGATCCTGGAAACAGTGCAGAGAGTGTAGAGGAGAGTGAAAACTCAAAAGCGCGCCCATACGGCACATAAGGACATAAGACATACCCACACTGAAAAAAAAGACAAAGACAGGAATATATAGGAAGTGGGAATGAGTACCAGGTGCGGGCTAATAGAGCGCGCCGCCCCGCGAGTGAGCGCTGATTGCTCCACCATGTGTGTCTGAAACTGACAGGACCAAAACAACCACCACGTGCAAATGACAACGACAGCGGAGGCAGAAAGGGCAGAAAGGAGTCGGAGAAGGTACCGGTACTGACAATTCCGACTTTGCTATGACAATCTGAATCAGCGAGGTAAAACTAACGACATTATTAACTGTCTTGATATTTACTTTGAAAGCTGAAGCTCGCGATTATGGTAAGGGGCGTTACATTTCCGATGCATGCTTGTGGTGTTCAGCCAATCACAATGCACTGGGTCAGGTGGCCTATCAGAGCAGACTGCGCTTGTCAAAGGAGGGGGCTTTGTTGAAAACAATGTGTTTGAGAGAGGCGGGGCATAGAGGACCTACAATAATGTTCAGTATTTGAAAAATAATGTGTTTTTTGAACATTAAAGCGTGTCAACATATTCTGTTACACCAAATACACAAAATAATGATCTTTAAAATAGCATCATATGACCCCTTTAAAACAAGGAAAAGTTAGGACATAAAAAAAATAAGTAAAATAAAATTTAATTTCGATCAAATGTGTAATGATTTTTTTATTATTATTATTAAATCAGAACATAAGCATTTTTCAATAGTGCCCTCAGACCTTCAGATCCCTGATTTGCTAAGATTCCTGTAGTTAATGTACAGTATGAATACCTGAAAAGCAGGAATGATAAATTCAGCATTTCCAAGCCTCTGGCAGTACTCAAAGAGTTCAGTACAGCGAATGGCAGAGTTGTGACAGAACTTGGAAAACAGAACACTGCAATCAAAGAGTTAAAATGAAGAGCCATTTGTATTAAGGAACTCAGCCATTTAGATATCTTAGTGCTCATGCTGAATTCTCACCTTTGCTTGCTGCCCAGAAGCACAAGGCGTTCTGATCTGTTTGTGTACCAGCCAAAGGGACATTGAGCTGTGAGGTAGCAGATCTGGGAGGCATACAGCATATCCCTTGAGGCTGAGAGGAGAACGTAAGAGAACACGAGATCTACTTGGAAGAATCATTTGATATTAGCCAAAATATGACAGAACATTCAAGGAGATGGTTACTTCTAGAAATTGGACTAGACATTACCTAGGGTATCACCCATGGTGATGATGGACCTGTGATGTATAAAGGGGTCTCCTGTCTCATTGGACAGCAAAACAGCCAAGTGTGGTCGCCAGTCTCCCCACTTCTCACTACTCCAGGACTAAAAAGTGGAATTAGAGAGCATAATGACAGCATTTAGAAGAGATAGCCAGAGAGGACAATTTAGAGGAAAAGAGGAGTTTTCATATGAGCTGTGACTGGAGGGGTCTGTATTACGCTTCCATTTAAAGGAAGTTCATTCAAAATTCATTCAAAATTCTGTCATTATTAGCATCCCACTCTCATGTTGTTCCAAATCCTTATGCTGTTATTTTTTCAATGAAGCATAAAATTAGAAAGTCTGAAGAAGAATTGTACAGCTCTTGGCAGTACATTTATCAGAATGACAAAAAAAACTATGGAAGCACTACATTCCAAATACACTACTGTTCAAAAGTTTCAGGTCAGTAAGATTTTTAATGTGTCTAAAGGTCTCTTATGCTCAACAAGGTTGCATTTATTTGAGCAAAAATATAGTAAAAAGTAATATTGTAAGATATAGAAACCAACTTTTCTGATGAATATAAAATTCAAATAACAGTCTTTGCTTTCACTTTTGATCAGTTTAATGCATTCTTGGTGAAAAAAAAATTGTAATTTCTTTAAATTTTACTGACCCCAAACTTGACTGAAAGGTAGTCTGTTTAAAAACCATACCATAGCTTGTGAAAAAGTTAACCTAAACTGAAAAAGTACTAAAAAAAAAAAATTCTCAATGAAACAACACTGCGTCTATCCATGTGTCCAAATCAACAATCGGCATGATGAAGTCAGTACAAGCTGTTGCGTTTTATGAACTGTGTAAAAATTCTTCAAATTTCGTTTGACACTCCACAGATAAAATAACAAAAAAAGGTTTAGAACAACATGAGAGCAATAAATTGCCTTTAATTACAATAAACAGAATGTGAGCACAAAATGTTGTAGAATACCATGGAAACGGCTGAAATCCTCCCAGAGAGCAGCTGGAAGAGGGTTTGCAGAGGGTCACTAGGAGCCAGACTCCCTGTAAACCTGTCAAACACATACTGTACATAAATATTCAATCGGCTATAACATAGACACACGTTTAGCTTGGCACAAGAGTATACTGTGACACTTATGCACATAGCATGCATGCACAAACGTATTAGACAGCAAGTTCAAAACTTACATATCAACAAACAAAAATGTTACCTTCTTAACTCAAAACACAGCACAAAAGGAGCGACATTTCCAAGAAATGAAACCAGCTAAAACATTACAGGCATGTGCATGCAATCTTCCAGGCAAGTCGCACTCAGAAATGAAACCGGATCCTTTTGCTGGTATCCTCATGAGCATATTACTCATTTACTGCACTGTTTTCTGGGCTTACTATATCACTATTGGGATTGCTACCAATTTATGTAAAGGAGTCTTCTCCATGAGACATTTTTCAAGGTACGCCAGTGCTAATAATGAAACAGATATCAGACTGCTCAGAACTGGCAAGTGCCAGGAAGTATAAATATAACCTTGACCTATTTGTGGCTCTGCAACTGTCTTCACTCACTGTATATTTGATCTGCCCTCATACAAGGGTGTTTACGGAGTGTAAAATGTGTAACTGCAATTAAAATGCATGCATAAACCAATCAAAGCCTAACAGATTTTATAGAGACATGGCACTGTGACATGAACAGATGATTCAGGGATTCGTGCTATTTGAAAACATGACAGACTGTGGCAGTTATTGATGGAGAGTGATTAATGCTAAAATGCATGCGTTGATGTCCCTCAGGCAATGGCTGTGTCAGTCATCTTTTACAGTGCTATAAACCTGCTCAGCACTGTGTTGTAGGATCTGCTGTCCATTTTGCTAGCCAGAAATAAAGCATGACCCCAAAGACCACTCTGCATGGCTGACTCTAGCGCCTCCTGCAGGGAGGGAAGAAGTGCAGAGAAAAGATCAGACAAGTGAGATCTAAAACGATTGTTACAAGTGAGGCAAGGGACTGAACACTGTTAAAAAGAAAAAAAGAAAACATGTTAGGAATAAATAAATAAATTAAAAACTTTTAGCAAATATATATATACTACCAAGAAATTAATATTTTTATTCAGCAAGGGTGCATTAATTAATTAAAAGTGACAGTAATGACTTTTACATTGTTAGAAAAAAATCTGCCATTCTTTCTGAAAAAAAGAAGAAATTGTACTAGTTTCTACAAAATTATTCAGCAATACAACCTTTTCCAACATTGATAATAAAAAGGTTTCTTGAGCATCAAAACAACATATTAGAATTGTTTCTGAAGGATCATGTGACACTGAGGACTAGAGAAATAGTTAAGCAATTACATTCAAAAAAAAATTTTTTTTTTTTTTTGTAATAATTTAAAGTACCATTTGTGGTTTTGCTATTGATCTATTTTTTAATTAAAAAAATGCAGCCTTGGTGAGCATAGGAGACTTCTTTCATAAATATTTATAAAATCTTACCAACCACAAAATTTTTAATGCTATTGTACATATTTACAGTGTACAATGTCTTTCTCTAATAGGAAATGGATTAAAGCATATATATATATATAATGATGATGTTTCTTCAAAGAGTCAGGTTTCTTCAGATATTTTTGCTCAATAAAATGCCCTCTATAATGAGGCTATTGACTTTGAAGGGGGAAAAAATGAACTAAGCAGACGTCCTTCATGTCCTGCCCCAATCTCCATTTTCAGTAGAAATTATGACAACAATGAAAGAACTGCATTGGTTAACAGTTTCACAGGGTTTTTACCGGTCAAAAAAGTTCAGAAGAAGGTTGGACTGAGAGACTCAAGGTAGAAAATACATTTCAATAAAAGCATTAACCTTCTTTCTGCCAGACAGCAGTAGTTTTGTGTATCTCTGAAGGTTTTGCTCTGCAGCCTCTTTGTCAGTTGGTGGATATCCAGTCAGGAGGTCGGCAAAGTTGAGGGTCTCTTTTTCTGATGTGGGTGTTTCACTCAGATCAATGAGAGTTTCTCCATCTTCATCACCAGAGACCCCACACGCAGCCAAAGAACTGGAGTCCCTCATCAGCAGTTCTGCAACATCTGAACCCATGATTCTCTGTAACATCAACACATACTCACATTAACCGTGTAAAAGGGGCACACAAACAGAATGGAAAAGAATGGTCTTAAAATACTTGAATGTAATGGAACTTACTCCATTCTGTCTGCACAGCAAGATTAGTAGATGCCACACGAGGGCAGCAGAAGTGGCATCTTCTAATTTCTCATCCTTCAGACATTTCTCTGACATTTGGAGGGCAAAATTAATGGCATCCACCTTATGCAAATCCTCCCTTCATGAAAAAAGAAGAAACGCAGCAATCTAATATTTATATAAAACTTTTCAGACTGGATTTATGTCTTGCAAATGTAAGTATTATTGTAAGAGAGGGATATTTTGGAATATCATACCTAGCCAGTGGTCCAGGGAAATTTCTCATATCCTGCTGTTCATGTGTGTCACAGAGAATTACCTGAAATCATTAAAATAACATTTTTAATCCACCATGATACTTCATATTATGCTTTAAAATTCATGTTTGTACCATGTCTCCGTTACCTCCAGACTGTGGAGTTCCACTTGAGCAGGCTCTCCCTCAGAGGCAAGAGCTGGACTGACCCATACCAGCTGACCTGAAGGCCCAAAGCTCACTGCCACATGAGGGATGCAGAACTTCAGTGGAGCCACCTCCATGGGTACAGCATCTAAATCAAATGACCAAATAAACCACAGCCATTCTGAATGCACTGACCATTCAGATTCGAGGACTGTAACTAACTGCTGTAATAAAAGAAAATTAACAAGCACACATTTGCTGTACAAAAACACAAAGCATTAAAGTTCAGTATTATGAAGCCTGGTTGTGACAAACCTGTGTGAGATATGAGCTCAGGCTCACTCAGTTCAGTACCACTGATGTACTGGCTGAGCTCATAGCTGCTCGAGGACAGACCTGAAGCTTTAGAGTTGGCAAGAGCTCCACTATCATACACCTAGAGAAGGAAAAACAATACAACCTGAGGCATAATCAAAAAGAGCTGGAATATATACACTACTGTTCAAAAGATTAGGGGGATAATAAATAATGTGTCATTGCTGAATAAAAGTATTAGTTTCTTTTTTTAAAAATCTTACTGACCACAAAACTTTGAACAATAATGTATATATTAAAGTTGACTTATGAACAAGAATGGCAAGTTTACAATAAAGTCTCTTTATACAACAAACCTCTCCAGTTCCATCTCCATTTTCCATACTTTCTCTGTGCTGTCTCTCTGAGACACCATGGTCATAATGACTGTCTGTTCTATGGCTATAGCTGTTAAATAAATGTGTAAGGTCACTTGATATGAAATGTACAAAATGATTTGATTGTTCTGAAAACACATTTCAGGCATGACAGAGCATATAATGTATGAGTGTATGCCATTAACAGACCCCTGCTGATCGAAGTATGAAGCTCTTGCTGACTCCTGCTGCAGTCCTCTGCCCTGATACCCCTCTGTTCTCCAGCCACCACCATCTACAAAACACCAGTGGGCTTAAAGTGAGTTAGAATTTTTATGAGAATTAAAAACTGTGGGCATGTGATTGAATATTATGTACCTGGGGAGCTGTATTGTGATCTGTGATAACCACGATAATCATAATAGCCGTAGTCGTCTCTGTAGGGCCAGTAGCTGGACGCGGGGTAGTCATATTCCTGCCTGAACAGATATTAGTAGTTAGACCTGGGCTGAGACTGTGCTCATTCATTGACAAATACTAACAAACAAGGTGCCCGTATATTCCAGTATATTAATATTAAATACTGTTCAAAAGTTTGCAGTCTCTTAAGTCGCATAAGTCTCTTAAGCTAACCAAGGCTGCATTTATTTGATCAAAAATACAGCAAAAAGTAATATCGTGAAATATTAAAGTTTAAAATAACGCTTTGAATTTGAGTTTCTTTTATTTATTTCTATTTTAATTTAACATTGAAAATAGTTGGAAAATAATGGTGCTTAATAATTTGTTGAAACTGTAATTCGTTTTAGGATTCTCTGATGAATAGAAAGTTCAAAACAACAGCATTAATTTAAAAAATATATTTTTTTGTATCAATGTAAAAGTTTGTATTGTCACTTTTGATCAATTTAATGCATCCTTGCTAATAAAATAACAGTTAATTTCTTGGAAAATCTTACTGACCTTAAACTTGTGAAGGGTAGCGTATATTCAAAATAATACTAAAAAGGTGTCTTAATCAGTAATTTTTTTCTTTATTTTGGGTTGGGTAAAAATGTAAAAAAAAAAAAAAATTCTTATTGTAGACTTTATCTCACAATTAGCTTAGTATTATTTTTATTCTGTAAGATGACCTTAAAATCAAACTAAGTATACTGATGTTTATGCCAATAACAAAGTGTATTGCAATTTATGCCAATGAACTGATTAGCCAGTTTTAAGGAAATTAAACAAACAGTAATTCAGATATGTTCTCATAAAAATTTTTATGAAGTTTTAATATTTTATGCTATTTTGCTTCTCAAGTAGATTTATTTTGGATACATTTTAAAGGTTCAAGGACATTTGCATGTTTACAGGAAAACAAGTAATAAAATACTGATTAAGAAAACAATTTTTACTGATTTACCTGGAGTGAGGTCTGAAGTGTAATGGTTGGTTTGATGCATAAGCACTACTATATCCAGGAATATACTCTGGTTTAGGAGGAGGACTGGCCATGTAGCTTCCATAGTGAGGATCCACATGGGGCCACTGTCTTTCGCTCCCTCTCGGGTCTGTAGGTGGGTAGTAATACGGTGTTTGGTGGGAGGATCTGTAGTGGTCGTCTCTGTTACTAGACTGGTACTGATAGCCTGGCGTATGCCAGCCTTGCCCTCTGGGCTCCATCATGAGACACAGCGCCGGATAAACTTAAAGCAAACTGCACTTACACAGACAAAAGTCAGGAGTTAGACAAACAGGGGAGGATTTTGCCTGCTGTAAGTCAAATGTTATCAGTGAGCATTGATACAGAGGCCGTTTTTATCAAGAGAGCAGTAAATCAAAAACAACCTTTGTTTTCAGTCTGTCAGTATTTTTGTGGTAACTTTTGATATACCTAAAGACATCAGTATGAGACTTTAATTTTTTATTTTAAGTACTATGTACTTCAGGGAAAAAATAGTGGTAATAGTTAGGTTTAAGAGTGGTTAGGGTCAATGTGTAATTATAGATGTAATTATAGAAATTAAATATTTTTTAAATCCAAGTACAATGATAAAAACTACACAATTAGTGCTTTATCAAATGCTTAATTGAAATCTCAGTAGATAGTGGTTAATTTAAAGTGGGTCCTAAAAATGTGGTGTGACTGATGCACACAAGATATACATAGAAAGGAAACTTACTGTAAGTTTAACGTTTTTTAAGTATAGTAATTAAACATGATTGACAATAGCATTAAAGAAACATTTCAAATAACTCACAGGTGTCTATTTGAGATGTTTTCCATATACACACGTGCGCTGTTTACTGTGCTGTGTCCTGTCATAGTTTCAAAGTGCACATGCCACATCATTTCAGAGCACAACACAACACAAACAAAGCTGAACCATGAACCTGCTTTACTGTAGTCTCAAAGTCTCTCCGTATGTTTCTTTGCCTTTCTACCTCTAAAAGGGAATGCAGAACTCAAGGAAGTCAAAATACATATTATATTTGATGAACCTCTTCATAGCTGTTCTAAACAGCTGTTGTCAGCCCTATGCAACAGCTGGACATCGGCTTTTTATGATTTTTTACTTTAAATACATAACTGCCATACATTTGTGTAAAGACACAAACACTAATATGCGTTTAAACATAAAAAATAAGTTATTTTACACATAAATAACGGTAAATGTGAAATAAATCAAAGCAGGACTTACAGTGTGTTTGCATACAGAGGTCTGACAGGCGCCCTGGGCTTTCTGAACTCACTCCCATATTTGGAATATTCAAAGTTGCCACGTCGAGCGGACTCATCGCGCAGAGACGCTGGAGCTGCTCGGACACACATCGGAGGAACACACCATTTACTCATGGATGGGAGGAGATCGCTGCCATGTTATGAAGGGAACTGTGCAAAATTGTGCAGTTATGCATTCAGATTTTTAAAGGGAAAAAAATGAATGTGAACCTTTTCAAGCACTTCTTACTGGCTATTCTTTAGACATCTGATTTAGACAAAAAAAAAAGTGTGCCCTTAATTTTGTAGACTATAACGCACATTACTGATCAGGCTTTGATCATTAATATCAGTCAACAAAATTACTGTCAGTGCAAAGTCTCTCCGTATTGTATGGTATTCTATTGTCATATGTTAATGCGTTCACCCCATTCTTTACGGTTCTCTATATTTGTGAAATTATTGTAAAATAATACCCATGCATTAACTATATATCAATTATTTATAGTCAAGAGTTAGGTTATGCTACATAATCTAGTTAAGCACTTAATACTGCAATCCACTGGCTAATGCTTTGAATTTTAAAACTACTAATGTAGTAACTGGCATGTCTTTTTTTAACTAGTTATGTACTTTAAAACTACGCAAAAATTCTATATTTATATTCTAGCATTTTTAAAACTTTATTCTGCTGTACGTGGCTTAAGGCGGGCGAACACGGTGCGATTTTTGCTAGCAGCCGATT